TATGAACCGGTGCTGATTGCGCCTAAGCTTACAGTCCCCTGCTGGCCCCTCCTGGATGTGTGCCAGAATTATTTTCTCAAACAGCTTGCTTAGGATCGAGGTAAGACTAACTGGCCTATAGTTTCCCGAGTCCTCCTTCCTCCCTTTTTTGAAGATGGGAACCACATTGGCCCTCTTCCAGTCCTCCGGTACCTCTCCAGAGCACCACGAGTGCTCTTATTTTTAAAAAGAAAAAAAATACCATAACTACTATTTTCTAGCCCTTTGGCACAGTAGCTGATTATAATATATTTTCATGCATTGTCAGGTACTTCAATTTTCAGCTTCTTCAGAACCTCAAAAAATACAATCTATCCATGATCATGTACCGTCTCAGAAGTAATTGGTACAACACATGAATATATAATATTGTGAAATAGCTTTATTGAATTTTGACACTCAAAATATACAAGGTTTCATAGATTTTCCAAGTCAAAAGAAGTTAGGCAGTAGCTCCCATTGAAGTTAACAAAGAAACCCACCCTAAATTGCCCTTCCAAATGAATGTACAAACCTATTTCCTCACAAGTGCAACTCTGAGAAAGAACAAACTTAGGGAAACCTGTTAAATGGGTATTTCTGCCAGGCTTATCTACTTTTTCCACTTTCTGCCACACCTGTATAATTATACAGTGCTTTATTTTTATTGGACTAGACTAACTTCCCAGTACTGACAAGTCACTGTGTTTGCATTTCAAAAAACCTCAACACCTAACTGTAGCCCTGTCACCTTTAAAACAAAATTAATTTCTCCAATACTCAAACTGTCAAACAGAAGAAGAATGAACGAGAAGGAAAAAACAATACCTGGGTTTGTTCACCATTTTCTTCATATCCACTTTGATTGTGAGCCGCTCCCTCCTAGAGTTGACCTCTGACATTTTCGTATCTGAAACTGTATGATGTGTATCACGCTGGCTATTGGAAGAATCTACTTTTTTCCTGAAATCCCCTTCTTTCCTTACTCTTTCCTTCTGTTTGTTAAAGGGTCTCAGATCAACATCACTTTTGTAAGAGTTAGCACATGCATTGCAGCCTTTCTTTGAGCTATATTTAATGGGTACTTCAATATGCCCCTCTTCAGTCTGTCTCACTCTTCCACCACTAAAATAATCTAGCTCTTTGCTATCCCGAGCACCCTTAGAAGAATTATATTTTTGGTCTTCCTGCTTTACATACTTCTGAGCTCTATCATCTGAAAATGATTTTTCCCCATCTGGCTGTCTATGATGTTTGTGACTATATTCATATGCTGTCTTCATAACAGAACTCTCTGTGTACTCCCTTTCAGCAGACCGATGAACTTGGGGACCAAGGGTTCTTTGTTCCTCCTTTTCTTGGTAGAGTGGAAAAGAACGATCTTCCTTCCACTTGGGATTTCTTATTTCTCCACCGTCATACCTCTCCATTTCTTTAGCCCTTTTAGACGTGTGCCCATATTCTCTGTAATCCCGATCCTCAGGATACCTGTGTTGACATAAAGCAATTTACACTTGCACTAGAGAAGAAAGTGAGAACTTATATGTGAAGAATGTTGGACAGCACGGCCTTATATGCGGACTGTGTGGGAAGTTAACCCATAATCCCTCCAGCCAACGTACAGAAGTGCAGGGGCTCTTAAGAGGGAAATTATCCTTTTACACCTTAGCCAGTAACATGATTTACTTAAAAGATACATACTCCATTACCACCAGTCACCCACAACTAAACTACAAACTGGCATATGCCTTTCAAGGTAGAAATCTTCAACTACAACGAAAACAGACTTTCACTTGAGGCCTTATGCCACATTACCCAGGTTTAATTATTGTATTCCTATACCTCTTCTGTAAAGAGCTCCTTGCTGTAAATTCTTCAGAAACTCTTCTAAGTGACTGACCATACTTGTCTTCATGTAGCCTCTGGTGCCTCAAGTCGTCTTCATACCATTTTCTTTCAAATTTACAAGAATCCCCTAATGGTCTATAAAAGGGCTTCATTCCTTTTTCATTTCCAGTGACTCTGTAGTGCTCAGGCAAATATCTTTCTTCCATTTTGTGCGAGTAAAAAGGTCGATCATGTTCTTTGTATAGTGTTTCTGAGTATTTGGGTGGTAACTGGTATCTCCTGTTGCTTTCGCTCCTTTCTAATGAATGTGTTCTATAGGGTTTATGACTATATGCATCTTCTAAAGGAATTCTTTTTAGACTTGGTGAAGGTGACCTATGTTCATAAATCCTGTGGTGGTTATTCCCATTAGGTGCAAATCTAGAATTGCTTTGTCCATATTTTCCATCTTCTGCTCTCCAAGGCATAGATTTCTTCAGGTCCCTCCTAAAGCCCTTATATTCACAGTTGTAATTAATATGAGCATGCCTTTGCCTATGGTGTTCTGGACTTCTAAACGCTGGCAATAAGGACCTATGTAAGGCAAAAAAAGATTATCCTATTTTAAGCATTATAATAAAATTGTATATATACATTCAAGTAAGAATATATTCTGTACAGAAGCAACACACACGGTTTTAATGCAGCCATACAGTTCAAAATTTATGCACAAGCTAACATTAAAAGTTACAATTCCCACAGATCACATCAGTCAGAAAGGTCATGGAAAAAGGCAAATTTGAATAAACTCTGAAAACTTACAGAAGGGGAGAAAAAACACATTTAATTGGGTGGATTCTTTATTTCAGACATTCATATAACGTCTTCTACTTCTCCCATTATATCCCCAGACACTCAGAGGAGACCACGCTGTGCTCTGAGAGGTATAATTCAGTCAGGGGTGGGAGACCAGTCCCCAAACCAAATCTCATAAGGTAATGGACCATGCTGGGGAAATGCACTTCGTAAGGTTAATGTTAACGTGAGGTATTTGCTGGTGTCACGAGAGCCAAGTAGATCAATAATATTATTCCTGTGAATATTACTTCTCCTGATCCTCTACTGTGAAATTGAATAAAAATACTGCACCAGAATAGTAAATTCACACAACTGAACATTCAAATACTGTGCATCTCGTGACAAAATAAAATGGCACTTCGCCATTGAAATAAATGCATTATGTAATACCTTATGTAAAATGTAACATGTGAAGTGAGCACGCTGAATTAAGTTTGGAATCAATCTTTCATAAAGTGTCCCAAAAAGGTTAATGTAGAGCTGTCCAGCACTGCCAGCAATTAACTGGTTAAAGGCCAATTAAAAAAAAAACTCACTCAAAAGAATCAGAGAGTAACCATATCAGTCTGAAGCCAGGCAGAAGTCAGGGCAGGGCAACACCTTAAAGACTGAGGGTTTCAAAGAGGCATAAGATTTTGTTCATCCTACTTAATCAGATATGAGAACCAGAAGACCAGGAAGCAAGGCCAAAGGAAAGCAGTCTGCATTTAAACTAATTAGTTACCAACTATTCACTGCAAACCTGATAGACTTGAAAACCTTCATAAAACACTTGAATAAATACAAACAGATTCAAAGAAATCCTTCTCTCAGTGACTATTCACCAAGCAAGGGCATAATTTATTGTCAATTAGCAGATGAATTCCTGAACCCTGACTTCAGACTCATGACAGAAAACCCATTTTGAAAAGTATCTGCATAACCATAATGGGTTACAACAGCTGAAACTGATGGCGTGTGCTTCAGCCCACTCCTCATCAGGGAAATCTCAAACCATTAAAAAGTAAATGAATTTTTAAATGCTAGTATAACGTACCAAACAAACTGTGATGATCCAGTGCATCAGTGATGATTTGTTAATCATGTAAGAGAAAGAAAATGGAAATAGAATTTTGTAATGCCCCCACTTAAACTGGTGCCATCCAATCTACACATTACTCTTGAAGGCACTCTTAGTGGAAATCAAAGAGTACCTCCACCTTTCATTTAAGCCAGATATTATGCAAAAAAAAAAAAAAAAGAGCAATTTATGGAACCACCTTACTTCGGAAAAAATATATTATACATTACAAAATGACTGGGTTTGTAAACCATCCCGCTTGAAATTTATTTTTTAGCTATAATTTCCTCTTTCTTTCTCTTGACCCAGAAATTTTGGAACTCTTTTGTGAATTCTTATGTTTTATAACATACCTTTACATGAGCAAACATTTGCAAACATAATGAAGTTAAAAAGTTACCTCTGTTTCCACCTTGGTGATCTTGATCTAGACCTAACCATCTTTTTGCAAATTACGCCAGTTTCTTAAAGCTATTAAAAAAAAAAAAACACAAAAAAATGTGAATTTGCTAGTTAGAGCTTCAATATAGCAGGTGATAATTATTTCTAAAACAACCTAGTCATCAGGAAGACACTCAAAAATATATACAACCTGTACATAAAAATAGATAGTCTACTTTTAAATATGTATTTTTTAATTTTCATGGGAAAAGTGATGTTTTTCAAGCAGCATTATGAAGAAAAACATTTTTCTTTAAATTAGTATCGCTTCTATTTAATTAATTGCATAAATAGCCAATTTTCATCTCACAATTTGGTGACATTTATTAGCAGTTGCTTTCTTCCAAACAACTAACCTGTAACTGAAAAACTGAATTATTCCAAATCAGAGTTACATACCAAATGCCAAAAATGATAAATAAAGGAGAAGCAGCATTTGACATGTGAATGAAACTGAATTTACAAAGAAGGAAAATATGGCAAGAATCAATTATCAGTATATACCGAACTTCTTTTTAGTGGCTGCTGAGGAAGTCTGCATTAAAACACAGTTTATTTTCTTAAAGGAGACTTAACTATGTCGGGTCTGAAACAATGTTACACAGTCCAGTTGAAGACGTTACAATTTATCAAACAGGGACAAATACATTACCAAAATTATTTGGAATTTTTGTACTTTGGTTTTTATGTTCCAATATGTGCAGATATGTAAACAAACATACAGATGATAAGCTATAAAAAGATGTTTCCCCCTTTATTAATCAGCAGATGTATCTACACGTGCATTAATATGCACTTAAGTAAGTACCTCCAATGTAAGGTACTAAATTAATGCGCATTAGGCTGTGCAAATGGACAGTATCCCATGTGCATGCTTTTTTAGTGATGCTTAATGAGCAGGAGACTATTGTACTACCCATTAGCATAATGACACTTTTTTTACAAGACGCTCTAATGCAAAATAACCTATGGCGCATTAAAGAGCACATGTAGATGTGCCCACTCTACTATAGAACTTGACTCTTTCTACAAAACTCAATAATCAATAACTACATTATTACTCGCTTATTTCTACCTAATCAATCAGAATGTTGCTGCCTTTTGCATGGGCCCAAAAGCATTAGATTATTTCCAATATATTGCAGCTCAGCAGTGGGATATACAGAATAGCTCCAAGGCAAACCAGCACTACAGGCACTCCGCTATTACAGTAACAAGGAACCTTATAAAAGCCTAGAAATGACAGTGCATGTATGTTTATGAAAATCAGTATTTCCTAGTTGTTTAACTGGATCATAATCTATGTACCAATTAGCAACACACACACACAAAAAAAAAAAAAAATGTACTAGAACTTTATTTTATAGTATACCAGAATTTCTCAAACTGGGATCCACAATGAATTTCATGATGGGAATGAGCAGGGAAACAGAAACAGGGGGAAAAAAGAGAGACTATGAAGAACAGCTTGACAATACCTCTTAATCTTATGCTTCTGAGGAGGTTACATTGTGGTTGCAGTGATAAAGTGTTTTTTATTAGTCATAACATGGAATCATCAGGGTACACAGCAGAATAACCAATTTAGGAAGGGTATTTATTTTTAGGTGTAATACCCAAAAAAGTTTGAGTGCCTCTGTAATATACAAATGTGATTTGTAAAAAAATATATAAAGAAATGTTAGCCTTTTGATGAGTTCTTCCACACGGCATGAAGTGAAGCTGTAAAAACTGCAGCCTAAAACAGGAGGGGGTGGGGATGGAAGCTGATGAAGGCTCTATAATTGAAGCAGACAGCAACATATACTTGAAGGCAAACTGTCTAAAAACAGGTACAAATTTAAAGTTAAGGCTTGGTCTGATTCTTTACTTCTAGGCATGTGCCTGCGAGTCATGCAACTAAGACTACAGACATTTATGTAAGATATATGTTTGTATCTGAACATTTTGTGGCTTTGAAAATCTGCAACACTTTCACTCACACTGAATACCACCTTATTCTACAAAGTCCAACCAACATCAGTGATGCAGCCTTAAGTGATTTCTCATTTGGGCCAATGGAAAAGAAGAATATTTAGAAAGCTGAACAAGAAAGTAGAAAACAAACAATATCTTGTTTCATTAACTGACCTCTTCTTTCATAGAAAAATCTCAATCCAACAATCTTTCCAAGGGTTTCTCCTCATCACCTATCCTGACCAACCAGAAAGTACGCAAAATTTTATGTTCCCAAGTCACCACACAGAGCATGGTAAGACTATCAAACTGGAAACTGAAAAAGGCTTAGTCAGGCCCTAAAAAGTCTTTCCATCTAGCTCAGCAATTTTGTAAGTGTGGGAAATGTGTGACAGCACATCCTAAATTTTGCCTTGGGTTATTGCTAAATGTTTAAGAGTGCAGGAACTCCTTTTGCCTTGTGGAAAGAAACTGCTCATATACTTCAATACAACCTTTAAAAAAATATCCAGAAGTCAAGCAACCTGACCTCCTAACAGTGAGAGATTCAAGAGACAAAATGGAAAGGATATAGAGAGGCAAAAACAAATGGACATCTTACTCCCAATCCACCTAACTAACTGATTTCTGTGAATGGACACCAAGTAGCAAGCCTGTCTGTATAAGGACTATTTGAGCCAAATAGTTAGACAATGCATAGATCTTAAAAAGTTGACAGTGCTTATATCTTTCTTTAATATTAATTCATTTGCCTCCTTGTTGCTGACTCCAGTCGGATAAACACCCATATACTTTTAATTACACAGTGATAGAGGAATATACTTTTAGGCCTGAGGAAAAATACCCCCTGGTCTTTTTTCTGATATTCCTCGTCTCTTCTCTCTCCAATGTCAATTTAAAAAGTTGATCATGGTGTCCAAAAATATAAAAATATATAATAACTATATAATTTGTTTAACAAGAGTTGAAACTCTTTTTGCATTAGAAAAAACACTGAAAAAACAGTGATGAATTTGTGCTACAATTTAAGTCTTCAATTCTTATGTTTAACATAGCAGAAACTGCAAAGACATTAGCTGGAATTATCTACAAGTCACAGAATTTAAGCCCTTAAAATCTTTTAGCTTGACCTGCATGCATCAAGCCCTTAAATCTTACCTGATTATCCCTACTGAGAAGGGCTACAGTCAGCCTTAAAAACAACCCTGATAAAAACAGGCTGACAAGGGAGTGCCACAACTCTCATGGACAAGCCAGCATACATACAGGAAGAAAGCGGACAGAGAACTTCCCCAAGTAGAGTTTTACAAACTCCTGACCAAGGACTCTACAGCACAATACCAGGAGGAATGACATTTTTTTAAAAGACACTACGATAGGTCCAGAAACAATTACGGCTTCCATCTCCTGGGAAATCAAGACAGACAACCTGTATTTACTATCCAAGATCCACAGAACCGGCAACCCAGAGCATTCCACTGTCTCAGGCACTGGCACCGGCACCATCACAGAGGGAATTTCTTGCTACATTGACTCTATCCTATTCTCATACGCCACTGGAGCTGGCAGCAACTGGAAAGATATCACAGATTTCCTAAAGAAATGGGGCTCTGCTGGCAAGCTTTCAGCAATCACCTATTAGCTACCATGGATGTCACATCGCTGTACACCAACATCACTCATGAGGATAGATTACAAGCCATAAAGAACATTATTACTGGTGAGGACACTACTTCTGTTTCCATCACATTCTCCTACTTCATGCTCACATCCAACTACAGCACTTCAGATCTGGGGACCCCTTATACTTACAAACTTCACTACCATGGGCACATACATGATTTCCAACACGTTAAAATATTTCTGAAGGCCTTAAGTCTGTTTCCTCTGCAGCTGCCTTCTCATCCCCCTAATACACCTTAAAGGCAGAAGTTTCCAAACTTTTTCTTATGGCACAACCCTTCCAGATATAGTAGCTGCCTGAGTACCCCCACCAGCATGTTTTTATATTTAACCCCTTAAATGCCAATTATATTATAAACATTCAATCCACCATTACAGAATTTCTCCCATATACCCCCCAAGGGATGCCTTGCAGTACCCCCAGGGGTACACATACCACAGTTTGGGAACCCCAAAGCTACATCAGTACCTTCATTGTATAGATGCATGGAAAGCAATTTCTTAAGAGAAATTTCACCAGGACTATAAATTCCACCCCTTCATTGAACTGACTGTGAAATACTCCATACAGCATATTCATCATAGTGAAAGTCTGCTATGGTCGTATCACCACCATACTATCAGAAACTAAATGACCACTACAGCTACCTGATTGCAGTAGCTCTCATCCTCGGTACACCAATAATTAGAGCAGTGGTTTTCAACCTGCAGTCCACAGACCTCTGGGGATCTGCACACTGTTTAAGGGGTTCACGAGAGATGACTGTGATTATTCAAAAGTATGTGAATACCCACACTTACAACTGAAAGGGGTCCATGCCTCTATTCAATTTTTTTTTTTAGGGGTCTGCAAATGAAAAAAGGTTGAAAGCCACTAGTCTAGAGGCAAGTTCTACATCAGGAGTGTCAAACTCATTCAGCCCCACACAACCAAATGAGGGTCACTAGGATAGTTCATGGGTCCGACTGGAACCACGCCCCAGAGCCAGCACTAATGGCCGGTGCTGTATGTAATGCAGGCCCCATGGCAGCCCACCACTCCAGGCCTTGTGCTGTATGTGGCACATGGGCTGGACAGCATCACAGGCACTGCATGCAATAGAGAGGGTCAGGCTGCATGTGGCTCCCTCACTGGACCAGCCAAAGTGCTAGTATGGTCCCAGTCCAGGCTAGCAACCGTTATCTGGCTATGCCAATGTGCATGGCTAGTCTGGCAGGCACTGCATGCAGCACACACCCCAGATCCAGCCTGCATACAAGACTGGCTCTGCATGATGCATCCGGTACACAGGGTCAGCCTAAGTTGGAGAGGATGGATCTCAGGGCTCCACAACCCAGATCCAGCTCACAGGCTACATTTGATGCACCTGTTCCACATTACATCTGTATCT